ACTTAGGGTTACAAGGCGTTTAGGGTTACTTTGCTTTTTTTCTAATTAGAAATTTGCACATTGCTTCCATTGTTATGGCTTAATTTTTTTTCCCATATGTATGCACGAATAGCAGAAATTACGCGACATTCGCGGGGCGGATCAAACTCGCAACGCGCAAAGTTCCCGCGTGGAATCTGTGTTGCCGGCCGAGTGTCGCGGAGCCCCGCGAACTTCCGGACGCGGCCGACGCGCGGCGCGTCGGTCGCCGCCGCCGCCGCCGCCGCCGCGCGCGACGAAAACACACGCGTATGTGCGTTCACGTGTGCGCGCCGAGTGTCACTCTCGGCCGCCGCGCTCAGCTGCGCGTCCCAGTTGCGGCCGGCGATGATTGACGGTGTTGCGGAAAGAGTTGCGAAGCGGCCGTTCGCGTTAGTTGCTCAAACATAAGCGCGGTCGACGGTCGACGACATGGATCGCGTCGCGGCGGAGCCGACGTTAATCGGCCGTACCTGCCTACTCCTCGTCGCCGTGACACTTTTCTGCGCGAATGCCGGCCGCTGTTCGCGCGTGGACCGGGACGTGAGGACCGACGGTTCGCCGGTGCCGGTGGTGCTCTGGCACGGAATGGGTAGGTCGCACCAATTTGCCCGTCTAATAATTCGCTTCCTCACTTTCGAAACGTTCACTTTCCGCGCCTACCTGCGCACTTTTTCCCCTCTACGGGTTTACATTTGCCGTAATCCGCGCCACAATTACCAGCAACGCTCCTCGCGGCTGGTACATCTTTTGTGCGAATTAACTCGAACATTTCTGCAATTGCCCCTCAAGGCAAGCTCGTTCCGGAGTAATCGAGCTCGTTACGCACTTATCAATGTTTACACGCGAACGTTGTGATAACCTTAGCGTAAAGAAATGAATTACAGAAACAGGAGTTTCTCTTCTTGATTAGCAAGCGGATGAATATATGTTTTTCTAAGATGAATTGGCTGTGTTCGCAAAATATACGTTTCAAGTCGTAGACACAGTGAATATAGACTGAGCGTGCCGTTGAATAAGCTGAAGCTTGGTGAAGAGAGAAGGAGAGAAGATTTAAGAAGACTTTCTTTCTCTGTCTTGCACCATCGTAAGAGAAAAGAATCGTGCCCGCGCCTCCTTTGTCTCGATGGCGAGACAGAGAAAGAAAGTCTTCTTAAACCTTCTCTGTCTCTCACTTCGCAAGCTTCAGCTTATTCAATGGGACTCAGTCTATATTTACTATGTCTGCGTTTCAAGTTGTAAGGAAAAGGGATGCTTTCTAATTTTCCCCTTCGCAGAGATGCGGTTCTTTATCTTTAGTATCTCCGAATAGTTCAGCACGCTCCAAATTTGCAATTGGAATTAATGTTCTAAGAAAATACCATTAGTAAGTAACACGTGTGTACGAACAAGCAGTTTTTCTCCCTCTAACCGGCGGCAGTGTGACGGTTCCGGTCTGCCATTGCTTAGCCTTCTCCTTCATTTTGTTGCGGAGATAAAAGCATATCTTTTGCAGGTGATAGTTGCTGCTTCTCTTTCAGCCTCGGAAAGATACAGCAGGTCCTTGAAGCCGAAATCCCTGGAGTTCACGTCCATTCCATACGTATCGGAAACAATGAGATAGAGGTTGGACATAATTGTCAACAATAGGTGCTTTCCGGCATGAGACACACAGCTTGACGCAGTGTAACGCGGAGAGTCATTTCATCCTCATTTAACAATGGCAAACAACGACAAAGATAAAAGGATCCACCGTGTTACACAGTGTCTCCTGTGCGCATTGCTGGGAAGCGCCCAATTTCGAAGACGTATATGCTTGGAAAAAGATTCCATATAGATATCAAATTTATCTTCGTCCTGGGGGTCAATTCTGTATCTTGCAACATAGTGAAAATGCTTTAAGCGAGTGGCTTTGTCCTCTTTGTAAAGGGGCGGTTAGACTTTTCACTATGCTGCAAGATACAGAATTGACCACCTGGTCCTTTCTCCAAGTGTTCTATTTATCCTTGATTCGTTCATTTTCATTTCTTGCTTTTCGGCATATACACTTGAAATTCTAAGCTACCGTCTGGCAGTCATATAATATTTGCGTTATAAGTTTGTGCCTATCACTCTATTCCGTTTTAATGCACAAATCTTTCTTATAGGATGTTGAGAACAGCTACTTTGGAAATATTAACGAGCAAATCAAGCACGTGTGCGAGCAACTGTCTCACAACACAAATCTCCAAAGTGGATACAATGCCATTGGCTTCTCTCAGGGGGCTCAATTTCTGTAAATTGTTTCATTCACTAGTCGTTTAATCCCTCGCAGCATCCGTGTAAGCTTTTAATAATTATTGATCCTTCGTACGCAACGTCGTTCTATATTTTAGGAGAGCGGTAGCTCAAAGATGCCCCAATCCACCAATGCTGAATTTGATATCCTTAGGCGGTCAGCATCAAGGTGTTTTCGGCATACCAAAGTGCTCGGACTCGTCCCGATTGTGCAATTATATGCGTCGCATGCTTCATCACGGCGCATACTTGTGGTACTCGCCCACACGACCTTCGAAATTATTTAGCATCACTTAACAGAAACGATCTCTGTTGTTTTATGTATTATTTTAATCTTCTTCTTAGGTACGTTCAAAACTCCTTGATACAAGCTTCTTATTGGCACGATCCCTTGCAGGAGGATGAATATCACAGGAAAAATCTTTTCCTCACCGAGATAAATAATGAAAATATTAACAACACTGTGAGTGTAGTTGCAAATTAGACTTTTTAGTTTGATTAAAACAAATATGCTCTATATCTTACTATGAATTAGTATACCGATACATATCTTGCATCATAATTAAGAAGGCTACGATGTATCTTACATAACTTTTGTCCGGGTATCGCGTGGCACACAGAACCTTAACGCGTTATTAAAGTTCGAAGACAGAGATAGTAAAATGAAAATTACATTATTGAAATGTCAATAAATATTCGGTTACGTCGCATGTTGCAACAGGAGTACAAGAACAATCTTCAAAAGCTTCGGGCTTTAGTTCTCGTTAAATTCGAGAACGATACAATGGTCGAACCGGTGGAGACAGAGTGGTTTGGATTCTACAAGCCTGGCCAAGCGGAAGAGGTGCAGAAGCTACAGCAAAGCGAACTGTACCAACAGGTATTCGCACGATCGATTTAAAGACACAGCCACGTAATGCGTATATTATTGATTCGTCATTCGTAGGATTGGCTCGGATTGCGCGCGATGGAAAGCGCCGGCAAGATCTACTATCTTTCGCTGCCTGGCGATCATTTGCAATTTACGGCCGACTGGTTCATTGAGAATATAATTAAAAAGTATTTGATATAAGTGAAAAAATATCGATGTATGAAAATTTAAGAATTTAGTTATGTAGGCGTGTATACGTACATAGTATAAAAAGGGCAATATCAATAAAACAAATTAACTTTTACACTTCAATTCTCTCTTCTAATCTCCCTTTTTTTTTCTAACTCTGTCAAACATAGGTGATTCAATCTTTCAGATTAAATATCTCTTCCTTAATTAGTAGTTTTTTTTTATTAGACGATCATAATTTTATATACATATGTGGCAAATTCACATAGATATTAGGGACTAAGACCTGTTCTAGCAAAGTGAGCTTAGTGAATAATTTCATACATCCCGATATTTTCTTGCATATAATGCCAACAGCGAGCGAAGAATACAAAGAGAAGGACATACAGCTTTTTTAGGACATACATATGTATACATAGGGGAAGTAATTCGTGCTGCAACCAATGAGAGAGTGTAACTCTTAATGAAACAAAAAGTACTACGCCATTCCTTCGAGTCATTGTTTTCGGAGAAATGTTTTATTCCAAAGTAAAAAAAAAATAATTAAGATTGAAAATATTCGAATGCACACGCGACCTGTTACATTAATTACTCACGAGGGGGAAGACCCCGAAATTCGGAAGTTAAAAAATTAAGTATAGTAAAACAAAGTGAGCCAACATTGCTGCCACCTCTTCGGTGTAAATTTGGGTAGCGAGAGAACTCGTTGGACATCAGGATATCCCATGAAATTGCCCAAATTCTATAACTATTTGAATTTTCGAGGAGGATCTTCCCTCTAGACGCGTGTACATGTGCGCGTGCAAAATATATGCGGTATATCGTGTGCAATTTGTTCCGGCATTCCTCCTAATTTGCTCACCGCTCGGGAGACCTGTCGCCGTTATTTCACGCTGGTGACTCTCTTCCTCGCGACGCGGAATAATAACGCGCCGCGGAACCGCGCGGCGCGGGGAGCCGATCGAAGAGAGCCGCAAAAGAGAATGCAACGTAATTCGTACTGTTCATTGTCGCATGACGCGATTGTATATAGAACGGGGAGCGAGAGGGGCGGGGGGGGGGGGAGGGGAGTCGGCGGGGCGGAGCGAGGGACAACAGGAGAGAACCGCGGCTCCGAGAGAGGCAGGCGGGCGAGGGTGCGCCCGCCACTATCCGTCCGCACCCTCCCCCGGCTCCAGACTCCTCTGCCGCCCCCGCAGCGCCCTTCCTCTTTTCGCCCCCGCGTTGCACAACAAAGCCGCGGGATGAGAAAACATTAATCTAGGCATGTTTTGCAATCTCGCCGCTCGCGGTGTAGCTACATATAATGGAACGCTGTTATTGCTACGCTGTTATGGCGTGCGCACAATGTTCGTTTCGTGCCTCTTCCTCCTCCTCGTCGTCGTTGTCGTGGTCGCCGTCGCCGTCGTCGTCGCCGCCGCCGCCGTCGTACAGATTGGAGGCGCGCACGTGTGTTCGCCGCAGCGACCAAGATTAATATTTCGATGGTAACGAAATGACGACGCGAAGATTCGTCGCCGGGGACAGCATTGGGGCGCGGACACAGGTGTTCCGCGCCGCGGGGGGTGGCTGCTGTATCGGAAGAGTATCGATACTTTCCTCCCCGCGAACACAGTACTTTCGGTATTGGGCCCTTCGACGTATATTCATTGTATACTTTCGCCAGTAAGACGTTCGCGATGAAATCACGAGCGAAATCAACGTCATCGGTGTTTTATGGCGATTATTTTAAAAATAATGAACAGCGTTCGCATGTATGGGAACGCGTAGTTTAATATTATCATGTACATAATTGCTAAAGTGATTAAGAATTTTAATATAATTTTTAGCACCACAGGGACTGTACATACATCCTTGCTCTACTAGGTTTTACTCGTCGTTTTTCTTTACTTTATTAAATAAATGAGTAACGTCTTTGCGATACGTCCAAGCCACCACCGCGCGCCACCCTCTTCTTTGCGCTCGTTCCATCCCTCATTAAATGCGAACGATGGAGCGACCAAGAACACCGCGTGGATTATTACCGAGAGGCCGGCACATCCCTTCAGCGCCCAATCGTGGATGTCCTTAGAAGGGCCGCCTCTCGTTGCGATTTCACCTCCGGCGGGATGCGCGGCGTCGATGAAAGGGAGGGAGAGATGCGATAAATAGCGGACAGGCCGTGATGCGCCGGTCGCATCCTTCGGATGAACGGGGACAGATCGGCTCGTTAAAGGGCCTTGGAATATCGATCGAACTTGTTTAGCTTGTTTGTATCAATTCAAATTTTACCGGGTCAGTTACTTAAAAGAACAAAGTGAAATTATCACATGATTACGTGATTAGTCAGAGGTGCGACATTTTGATGTTATCTTTATGCGCAAAATAACGCAAAATGCCCCAGGAACGTTTTTAATGTCATTTCTTTGCACTTTCGAGTCCCCAACTTCGTTTTAACACGTTTTTGAAACGCAAAGTAACGCAAAATGACCCTTAATACGCAAAATAACGCAAAATAGCGCCCAAATAACGTCTAAAATCGCAATTTTCCTTAGTAAACATTTCTAACGTCAATATCGTATCCTAAACCAAAGAGATTACTAGCTTTAAGCTTAGCTTAATTCGTTCTTTGCCTCTTTTTAAAAAACGGTTAGAAAAAGACAAAGAACAAATTAAACCAAGTTTAAAGTTAAGTGGCGTTGGTGAAACCAGGCCTAAGTCATCTTGTTGAAGCTCTGCCCGCCTCTGATCACATTATCAAAATAACGCAAAATCCGGAAAAACAAAACGCAAAAGATACCCAAAAATAACATCAAAATAACACAAAATCTGGAAAAACAAAACGCAAAAAATAATATAAAAATGTCACACCTCTTATAGTGATTAGATAAAGACGCTGTTGAGTGAGCAAACGGAGATAAAGCCATTAAGTCACACACGAGGAATCAAGGGTGAATTTGATATGAACTTCAGAAAAATAACTTTCACATTAAATTTACATACTTTGAAGATAATATTAGATTAAGTCCATAGATATGATGACGCAACGTAAAAGCCGCGATATAGAAATTGAGTATTTTTTATTTTGAAGATTTACGATAAAAGTATAAGAAAAATAATTATTGTGTGCTAATAATGATTAAAACCTCAACGGTAGATGAAAGTCCCCTATTATAAGACAGGCTCCTAATACAAGATAGCGAAGTTTTTGCTAAATTAATAGGCATCATCCGTTGGTTTCACCATGAATTTACTGCCCCGAAGCGAAATCTGTTTAGTGGAAAATTCATTGTTAGATCGTGTAATCGTTGCGCAAAAAGATTTGTGGTTGAATTTGGGTTGAAAACCTACTATCTCATATTAGAATCCTATCTTGTAATAGAGGACTTTTCTCTACTAATAATTACGTTTTTCAATATTGTAAAAAGATTCCTCAGATTTTACTAGACGGGCGATCGAATCCGAGTGCTGCTCTGTTCGTCAGGATCGTTACTTCCAGGCTTTCTCCTTTTCTAAAATTCCAATTCGAAGTTAAAGCGGCCGTCTTTGTGAACTCTCGTGGCTCGTCGGATGTTTCGGACGACGTGTCGCCCTTTTCTCTCTCGACGGAAGTTTTATCGAGGAAAACTTGACAAGTTATTAATAGGAGCCTCTTTTCTGATATCTCTCTTGTTCTAACTTTCGCGAATTAACATCCCTAGGGCCGTTTCTCGATGCAACGATACTGACGAGGAATAGAAGAAAAATCGAGAAAGTATATATGTTTAACAATTAGAATGTTTTGTAATTTTAGGTAAATTTTTCTTTACTCGCGCAGAATCTTTTACACGAAAAACTTATTGTTATAGGTATAAACCTGTTTTTATTATATACACACATTTTGCAACATCGAATTCTGGTAGTTTTTTTTATTACTTACATCTTTATTCTAATTAATATTAATTTCCGAAAAATAAATGAGTTGAGACACATTAGATTATTGTCGGGTCGAGATTTTGTTAGATGTAGGTGTTACTCGAGATCAATTGGCGAATAATATTTCGTTATAAAGTCGCGGCTTTGGCAGATTTAATCGAAAACGGCTTCGTCGGATTAAATTACTATTTAAATTACCAATCTCGTTATCGTCAATTGGTGCCTCGACACTTTCATCGACGGCGAATCAGCTTTGAATCAGTCAGAAAACACCGAGACGCACCGTAGAGGGCTAAGTTTAATTACGAGTCCGAGTTGTGAGTGGTGGTGCAGCGATGTTGTCGCGTCAATGACTTCGAGTGAATTCATCAGCGAGCGACGCGAATACACCCCTGAAAGGGAGCAAATTTTTGTCCGATGAATTAGGACGCGGCGCCCGCCACCGCCGTTCCTTTGACTCGAGCGTGACAATATGAATATTAAACTATTGTTACGCGTATGCGCAGGATGCACCCTCGTCCAGCCCTTGGGTCCGCGACTCTTGGCCACGAGGATTACTCTGTTTTGCCCTGTCTCTCGTCTGTTTTCCTCCTCCCGTTTAATTTTAGGCAGCCTTGATAAACTCTCGCGCGCTACTCGCATTTTGCTCAATCACGAGAGGAAATTTAAGGGATTTATCATTCGAACGATGCCGTCAAATTCTCTGTGGAAACTGACAATCTCTTTGTCGTCATATTGCTCACGTATATGTTTTGAAAGGCATTGTATTGTAAAATTTACATTTGATATTGATAAATTAGAGAGAGAGAGAGAGAGAGAGAGAGAGAGAGAGAGAGAGAGAGAGACGAAGAGAGAAAATTAACTTTTAAATATTAACAGAATATTTAAAAGTTCCGAGTTCTCAAGTTTTTATTATTGGAGTTCTTTCCGTTATATCCGAATTTATTACTTTTTTGTTAATATTACTGTTGCTATTATTATTTAGCACTGTGCACTTCGTCCCTTACAGGATTTTGTTTAAAGCGTAACAAATAACAATCCTCTTTTCCTCCGCCGACTCCTTTCTTCCCATGACAAAAATTATTTTGTGGATTTTTCTCTTTTTCGCGATGTTAGATCTCTATTTTCTACAGGCAACCCTTTCCTTTCACGCGGCGCGTTCGCATCGCTTTACTCTCGCCGTCATCGGTAAATTTTCTCTTTGTAGATTTTTGTCGGCGTACCTTCTG